AAAACTGGTGCTGCTCTGGGTGGCTTTTGAACGTTCAGCCAGAACTCAGCTGCTTCTCTGATGTGGCAGTACCAAAGCACGTAAGTACTTCTACTTTATATAGCCATCCTTACCACCCTGGCATTTTGAAGAAACACCTTCTTGGTTCTCAGAGTGACTGCTCAAATCAGCAAATGTTTCAACACTTGCCTATGGCTTAGCCAGTCTAACCTACAACAGTCTGAAGTTACTCTGGATGTTAGTAGCTTGTTAAATTTCTTTGAGAAAATACAGAGTGCACAGATTATCTGATGACTATTCCTGGGTGTTTCTTCTGTTGTCTGTATGATGGATTTTTCTATTTCCTATTAAAAACAAAGCAAAACAGAAAGAAGAGTCATCAGAACACCTCAGACATAGCTTATCTAAACTCTTTTGCCACTTAAGACAATGACATTTTATAGGTTGGAAGGAGAGAAGTAACAGAGCAGAAGTTAATGCACAACCCTTAGACTTTTTTATCATGAAGCGAGCCAATACGCAGAAAACAGTGATCCAGCATAGCTGCACTGAAACTTAAAAATACATTTTTTGTTTATGATATCTGCCAAACATGACGAGGACAAAGAGCAGCAGCTTTATGCTTTGCACTTCAATATCCTCAAGAAGTGCAGAGACCTAGGAGAAAAAAGCAAATTCAGACTGAGATTGAGTGTAGGCTTCTTGATGATGATGAAAAATTTTCAGTATATCCCAATCCTTCAGGGGACCTACCCCTCAAGAGGCTGGTAAAACATCTGGGAATAGCATGTACACTCCTGAAGGGATGTACAAGGCTTTTGTATGATGAGGGGATGCAGCTATCCCATAACTGTCTATAAATAGGGAGGGAGAGAGCTATATTATCTACATGAGAGAATGAGTAATGCATAGGAATTGCCCAGTAGTCTAGGCCAATTTCAGGAGTGTGATAAAGCACAAAGTATAGCTCCTCTATATGATGGGGTACTTCTTGTTCTTGTTAGTTCATTAGTAATTTACTTGAAAGAATCCTGAGTATAAGCATTTCCTACTCTTACAGGAATTGCAATACACTGAAGCACTATTTGAAGAGAACATGCCATACTGAGTTTGCAGGCAGGGACTGTGTAGTCTTCTCATCCACCTCAAATAGATCTGCAATTTATTTCTTTATGATTGTTTGCAGTGGTTATAAAATCTGGGCTTTCTGTTTGCTTTGCTGAACAATACCACAAAACAGTTTTCTTCACAACAGTCTGTATTTACACACCTTAAGTTTGCTCAGCACTATAAAGCAACAACACGAAACAAGCAACTGCAACATTCATTACACTCTCCAGGTGATTAAAGTCAATGAGCTTTTAGCCTCAAGCCATAAAATAACTGGTTACCTTCAGAAAGAACCACCTCAAGTGCATAGGCTGTGATCATACAGTGATGACTGATGATCCAGTGACATCACCCCCAGTAAGTTTGTAGACAACACCAAGTTTGGTGGGAGTGTTGATCTGCTTGAGGGTCCTGGACAGACTGGATCAATGATCTGAGGCCAATTGTATGAGGTTCAACAAGGCCAACAGGACAAGAGAAAATGGTGTCAAGTTATGCCAGGGAAGGTTTAGGTTAGATATTAGGAAAAACTTCTACACTGAAAGGGTTATCAAAGACTGGAACAGGCTGCCCAGGGAAGTGGTGGAATCTCCATCCTTAGATGTATGTAAAGCTGTCTAGATATGGTGCTAAGAGACATGGTTTAGAAGTGGGCATGGTAGAGTTAGTTAATGGTTGCACTTGATGATCTTAAGTCTTTTTCAACCACAACAATTATATGATTCTGTGAGTGTGATGCACAGTTAAGACCATAGGAGATGTCAATGGAAAAATAGAAGAGTGCACAGAAACTGCAGATATACAGTATTGAAAAGTATAAAAAACTGGCTGGATTTTTTTACAGTTACTCTGTCTCACTCCTTTCTGTTTCATGATACAAAAGCATTATCCAGAAAAATAAATAAGCTCCAAAAATGCATATAATTAAGCAGCACAGTTGAAAGAATGATAGGAAACCTCTTCTGCCCTGTAAACTGACAATGCCAATACTTGGTTAATAATGCAATCTGATTTAACATTATTAAAACAGAGAATATAGTATGCTTAGTTTTGTTTTCTTCCACAGCTGTTCACTACTGCTGTATGATATAGTAAGAAGTTTTAAAAGTATGCATATGTAATCCTCCCCCCAGAACTTCCAATAAACAAAACAGCTTTCCTATAAAACATTTTTGCAATGAAGTAGCCATTGATTGGAAAGTTAAAAACCGAACTAATGAAAACATCTTTCAGTTGGCATCCTCAAAACTTGTCAATTCTATTTAATAAACTGTTGTTGCCCTCTAGCGTTCAAACACAGTTTGTAAATGCCCCTCCAGAAAGAGCCAGACTAGTCACCTGATAATTCCACGTTTGCTCTTTATCAAACAAGACAAATGGATAGCAGGAAAAAAAGAGCTGTGTTTCAGCCTAGAACCTACTTTTTGCATAAAAAAGGATTTTTAATGTAAGAGCACTTAAAGTTGTTTGTTTCACTCAAAAATTGTGAAAGGCCACTCTGCTTGGCCCCCTCACCAAATCAGTTATGGTGCCCATGCACCTCTCTGCTTTACTTCTGCCATTGACCAAACTTGATCTACATCACTGTCTGGGTTGGAGGGTGATGTTTCTAATGATGATAGCTAAATACATGCCCAGTGCTCTGAACGACCCTGAGACATGTCTGCCTGCCATCTCTTGAGTGTATCTCTATTGTACTGGACCATATCAATGAATACCACCCATCTCTCCCTCTGACAAATTTGTTATTACAGCAGAAATGCACAGTGAGGGGTTGTTCTCAGCACCTGTCCTGCAATAAGCTGCCATGGTGGCATCGGCAATGCAGAAGGCTTCTCATGGAGTTGTAGCTCTTTTGAGAGAAGATTACAGTCAACCTCAGATCTGCACATGCATTTTTACAGCACACAACTGGGCCTAGTACTTATCATTTTAATAACTCATGTCCCAGAGATGTTATTCCCCTTTGTCATGTTCCTTGACCAAAAACCTTTGAAAACAGCTTTTAAAAAAAGAAGAAACTGGGGTTAAATAAAGTGCAGTCAACAGACAAGCTGATAAACTTGGGATAGTATTCTTTTGTGATTTTGTTCATTTTAAAGAGGTTATTGAGAATGTTTTTCATTGTCACACTTAAGCGGCGTAGACGACCAGCTGGTTTTGTATCTATAAAGCAGTTTGCAGCCCCCATATAGTAAGAATTCAACTTTGTGGCATAAGAAACACTGACTTTTCTTTGATCTCTGGAATTTTCAGATAATTTTCTTCATAAATTTATTGTTAGAGGTCTTAGAAAACTTGCCCTGAGGCCATTTTCAGATCACGCCTGCTTCCCACTGTACCAAGCTTGACAGATCTAAGAACCTCTTGGACATGAGTCATGTTTCATATTTTGTAATAGAATTATTTCCTCGTATTCATGAGGCACCCTTCCTTCTCTGTCTTGATGTTTGTTGTTGAGTATGCTGCCTGCCACACGGACACTTTGAAATCTACTCTTTCATTCTAAAAACAGGTTTTGACTGGGCGTATGTGAAGGGAAATGTGAATAATACAAACTGAAAGTTGTGTAGCAAGCAGCAGATGCTCACACGTACTCTGACTCATCCCTCGTTCCAGAGGCAGGGAAACATACAGAGCAGCTCTGCTTATTCCCAGTCTCATGACGATGATCCTAGACGCGAGGAGGGTGTGCTTTGAGAGCCGGTGAGAGCTTTGTGCATTCAGGAGGGACAGCAAGTCCAGCACAGTTGTAAGCAGCTCTTTCAAGAGCCACCAGCCTGCTGAGGGAAGTAGGAGAACACTGGAAACATGAAGATAATGCAACCTTGTTC